GCTGGTTGCTCAGAGCCTCATCCAGCCTGACCTTGAATGTCTCCAGGGATGGAGCCTCCATCACCTCTCTGGGCAACCTGGGCCAGTGCTTCACCACTCTCATTGTAAAAAGCTTATTTCTTATATCTAGTCTGAGTCTACCCTCTTTTAGTTTAAAACAATTACCCCTTGTCCTGTTGCAATAGGCCCTGCTAAAACATTTGTCCCAATCTTTTTTATAAGGCTTCTCCCCAGCCTTCCTGTAGCCCCTTCAGGTACTGGAAGGCTGCTGCAAGGTCTCCCCAGAGCCTTGTCTTCTCGAGGCCAAACAACCTCAATTCTCTCAGCCTGTCCTCGTAGGGGAGGTGGTCTAGCCCTCTCATCACCTTCATGACCTCCTCTGGACTCACTCCAACCAGCCCATGTCTTTCTAATATTGGAGGCCCCACAGATGAAGATAAAACTGCAGCTGGCACCTCACAAGAGCACAGCAGAAGGGGAGAACCTCATGAGGTTCACGTGGACCTATTCCTGGAGCTTCTTCAGATCCCTCTGTCTGGCATCCCATCCCTCAGGTGTGTCAACCACACCACACAGCTTTCTTTCATCTGAAAATTTATATACGTGTAGCTTCCTACTACAACAATAATTGTGGGACTTTAAAATGCTGATAATATGTCGCTATTAAAAAATGAAAAATGTATGTATAGCTATAGACCAGTTTGCTGATCGCATTCTTAAAAAAATAATTGACATTGAAGCCTGTGAATAAAGTATTACAGAATGGGAATTATTATGTATCCCTATTGAAGGATTGTGGAGAAGCACGCACGAACTCCGAGATGGTGGAAAATGGAATTCGCTTTATTGCAGGCAGACACACATATTTATACTTCTTAGCAAGAAGCACTATTTATGGATTACAAACAAGAGACCAGACTATGCAGCCAGGGTTGTTATTAGCTCGTGTACTCCTCCAATCACACTCTTATCACACAGGAAGAACAGACTTTCCCAGGTCTACTTTGATCATACTCTCCCATTCACTCCCAGGCACATCTTGTGTACAAGAAGCCTCTTATCTGTTCATTCTCACGGACAAACTCCCAACATGAGCGATATTCAGTTGGTCAGGGTCTCTTTTCATAATTAGCAAGCAAGAGTTAGGTACTTGTTTAGAAAAGAGCTCAAGGATGAAAGTCTTAATTCTACAACGCAGTACTGCCAGCACAGCTAACTGTAAAATGTATCCACAAAGGATTATAATTTTATGAGATAGAGGTCATCCGTAACAGAATTGATTTCATTCTGTGGAAAGTTACAGTTTGGTTGATATGGTAACTACCTAGATATAATACATTTGTTCTTAGGCATTGTTATTGCATACTGAATGACATTTGCATTAAAAAGTAACACTGCAATGGATTAAGAGCTGACTGATCTCATGTAGCAGGTGTCAGTGGAAAGTCATCACTTCTAGAGCAACTCTAAAAAGGATGTATAGCACATCTGGTGCTATTAAAATTTTCCGTGAATCACATGGACATAAACACAAAATCTTTGCTCTTAAAATTTGTGGATAAAGCAAAGAATTGACAGGGTATTACATAAAGTTGAGGACAAGGAAGTACTTTTGAACAATATGTATTTAAAAGCAACTGCAAGCTCACAGAGATTTGAATGACGTAGCCAGAGAGGATCTAACAAGGATCAGTAGCTGAAAGCTCAGGTCAGTCAGTTGTACCTGCTCTTTTGCAAATCTGTAAATATTGGCAAATTAGCAGAGTTGTAGCTGCAACACAGATATTACTACTCTTTCTTCCACTTGTGGTGGATGCTCCTTGCTGCAAATCCTCCGAGCACCATGAACGTTTGGCCTGATGCTAGTGAAAGAAATAGGGAAAAACCACTCTTAGATGTTAAAATGTTCACCTCTATCAGAGATCTTGTAGGAAGGCTCCAAAGGAGAGGAAAAGTTTTTCTCTTGCCTTTCCTGTCAGTACATCCCTGGGTGTAGCGATGAGACCTGGCTGATGACCTGTCAGTCTGGTACACTGCTCTTTTGGACACGAGTAGCTGTGCTGCTACCCTGGATTGAAGCACGAAGCTCTCTGGTGCCTCTGTGAATTATTTTGTAGCCAGAAAGTGAGCACTGCAATAATTTTCTTTTCCTCGTGGGCTTTTAATGTTTGTGCCTCAGATGCAGGCAGGCAGGTATAAGCCGAAAGGAGCACAGGACATTTGTAAACTGAAGGGCAAAGTGAGGCCACAGTTCTTTAAGAGCTAATAAGAGATTTAAAGGACAGAGCTGGAAGGATGGAATAATAATATTGGCATTTCTGTTTTTTTGTGGTTAGGCAGTTTGGCACCAAGACCAAGCGCATGGGTTTACTCTATAGTTCTGGTTTCAAAACAGGAGCTAAAACCAGGAGGATCTCACTAGCTCATACTTCCCTGCTAGGAAGCCATGGTTCTTTGTAATTGGCCCTGGTGGAGGGTGTGTGATGTCGTTAAAGACTGGATGTTTGCATCCAGACTTTACCTCTATGTTGCATGCAGAAGTACATTGCTGTGTCTTGAGATGTTTTGTTCTTCCCTGTGTATCTCTCAGGAGTCCTGGGCAGCGGAGGTGAATGACACTTTTGCAATTTGGCTCATACCTTCTATTTGTTTGCTCTTTATTTGGAGAGATTTTAATAATTTTAGTTTCTTACGCTTCTTATTTTACTGCGTAGCCATACATCTTCCAGTTCTGAGACTGAGGCTCAAAAGTGCTGTTTACTGCATTGACTCAGTGCCTGTAACCAAAAGAGCATTAATAGTTAGCAAAACCAAAAGTTAAAGGGCTGACATATGCACAGGACACTTGTAAGCAAATCTTTTGCCGGTACAGATGAATTTTGAATGGGAATAGGGATGACCTAACTTTGACTCTTGCAAGTCTTAATGGTTTTAAAAAAAAATTGACTTTTAAAGTTTGCTTGGCAGTGGAGAGCTTCCCTGTTGTGCTGGGAAGTTGTGAAGATCTCTGGTGGAGGGCAAACCACCACGTGGTTTCACGTGTTGAACGCTGAGACATAAGGAGATTTGAGTGAAGCATCCTGGCTTTCAAACCAACAGGCATCAGGGAGCAAAAGAGACCTCAGGCTAAAATTCACATCAATGAGCTGGTGCATCAATCAATGTTGATTTCTGGTGGTGAAAGAACAAAACAACAAGTGACTACTCTGAGTTTTATCTGTAGAGGCAGCAGGACTAAAGATGGACCAAAGAACATCTGAAATGCCCTGGTTAACATATGGTCTCCAACCTCCCCTACTGCTCCAGCAAAGGGGTGGCTGAATGTGTCTGACTGCTTTCCATCACTGTGTTGGCTGTTGGCGCTTCTGGCAATGGCTTTTACAGTCCCCTGTCCTTCCAGGGAGCTGAGAGTGCCTCATCTGCAGCTGATAATCTGGACTGTAAATTCATTAGGGCAATAAAGCAGGAAAGAGAGCTGATTTCATTGCTAGGCTTAAGCAAACATGGTGGGATATTGTGGGGTTTTTTACTGAGAATCAGGAAGCGGGAGGTGAGATGTAGGGTCTGCTGGCAACGTCCTCAGAAAAGTAGTTTTTATCTCATGATTTTGGATGTAGCTTCAGAAACAATTCAAGGAAGACCTGCTGTAGAAATTCTTCAGAGACTTATGTGAGACTGTATCCCATTGGTGAGGGTGTTGCTTGGGCTTGGGTCACCTTCAGCTCCTGACTCTGTCTCTTAGGGAGCAGTTGGCCCTTGCTGCTCCTTTACAAGCACAAGAATTAATGACACTGAAGGAGTAACGTACTAAACACCAGATGGAGGTGATGCTAAATGCCGTATGCATCAAGATGAATATTGCAGTTGCAGAGGATGTGGCTGTTAATGCACCTGGGCAGATGAAGGAGTGGAACTCGGCTGTCCTCACCTGGTTGTTCTTTAAATCAGAGAAGGAGTATAAACACGGGGCTGTGAAAGTGGTGAAAATTCAGGGGTTCATTTTTATGTTCTCGTTAAACGGATTCCTTGAGCTGCCTGTCCCCATTGTTTACAACTGTGCAATTGCCTATTGATCTGGGAAAACAAAGCATAAATAAATGTTGCTGCAAAACTATGTCAAGAAAGAGATGGATAGGCAGACAGTTCTCTGCAGAAAAGCGTTTACCTATGATTGTGTTGACGGTAATTGGGAACATGAGAAATGGCTGGCAAAGGCTGGGCCTTTTCATGACTTTTTTTGAAACCTGTGTATAGGGGTGAATATTCTCCAAAGTTTTAGTCATATCTAACTCTGCTTTCTGCTTGAACAGACTCAAGGAGCAGACAATAGTCATGATCCAAGAGGAGAGTTAAGAGGGGAATCACACATAGTACAGTAAGATAGAGGAGATTGGGCTTCATGTTTTGTCTCTGACAGTGGCCTGTGATGGGACCTTGGTGTGACTAAAGTCACTTCATCATTCTGCGCTCAGGATTCCATTCCTTGTCTTAACTCTTTAGGTTTGAGGATTTTCTGAGCAGGAGGTGTCCTTTCTGAAAAGTTTGAGCAACACCGCAAGGTCATCTGGGCCCTTCAGAAGTTCCCTTCCAACCGAGCTGTTAGTGGAATCATGTTCTGTATTTTCTTAAATTTTTGTGACTTTCATGCTGATTTATGAACGAGTGAAAGAGAAAACCCCAGAGTGATGTCCCAGCTGAGGGAAAGCCTTGGGTCATCTGTTTGGCTTCTTGGCTAGCCAGGCAATAAATATTGGTCCAAAACCAGAGGTAGTATGTTGAGACTCTTTC